TGTGGAAAAAAGTAACTTTATCAGATGGAAAAAAATTGCAGTGCACTAAATACCCAAACATCACGTTTCTCATGTCAAACAATCAGCACCTTAAACAACATCTGAGCACAGAGAATAAAGAATGTAATGTGGTTATAAAGTGTGACAGCTGACATTCAGCTCCCAGCTCCTACACGTCCATGTTCACAACCACAGTTCTTCACTGAGAGCGCTCCCCCAGTGTACCCCAAACTGAGGCAGCTGCTGGACTCTCATCCTGTTTTGTTGTTCCCCCGAGAGCAGCCACAAACAAAGATAGGGCCCAGAGGGACATGATGGAACTCCAGCCCTTCACTGACTCACCCTGTTATCTTTATTGTATTTGTTTTGCTTGAAGTCATAAGAAATGCTGAAATACTCAAAACAACTAGAAACATCCTGCTGTGAAGAATATGAAAAAAATGTATACATTTTCAAATTGTAGCACAAAATAGGACATTAACAAAACAGGGCAAGACATGAAGACCAGACAACAGACGCAACACATTACACAAAAAAAGAAGAGGGTTTTACATTGGTTGTGTGTGAGGGTGTGAAGTGTGTGTCTTCAGCTTGTGCAATCCACCAAACAAAACAAATTTTTAATAAAAGTAAAATTTGAAAAAAGAAGGGGGAAGAAAAAAATGGAAAATGTGGTGTGAGCAAAACAATTGTAACCCATACTGTGGGCAACTGATGTTGCTTCCACCTTACAAATCTGTGCTAGGCTTCCAATTAACAACACACAGTTACAAAATGGTGGACAGAGTAGACACAAAATGGTCGATGGATAAACAGTACTTTACAGCACTCTCCTGAAGGGGATGTGCTGGCAGCCTGAGAAGGGATTTGTTGTTTGTTGCTGCCTACCGTGCTGTTACATTTTGTAAATGGAAGTCATTATCTGTCAAAATCCCTGTATTATGCAAAAAAAAAAAGAGTAGATGAACAACTAACTAGCTAGCTAGTTGTACCGTAGAAGGTAATAGGGATTGTTATGATTTGTCCCCCTTACCAGGAAGGTGAGGGAGAACTGAGGTTGGACTCAAGATGGCTGACCCAGGTGCTAGTACAAAAAAGGAGGTTTAATGGAACAAAAACACAAAGTAACAACATAACATAGGCAATAAATAATTCTAAACCAGAGTAGGGCAGAAACGGCTGAAACCAGGAGAGCAGCAGGAAGTGGACAGACAGGTGGAAAGAAAACAAAAGAAAGCCACGCACAGGAACTGTCAGCGTAGAAAACAAATAACAAAACGGTGAAAACACAAAAGACCAACATGATAAAAGAAATCCACAGCACAGTCACTGTCAGCGTGGAAATCTAAAGCACGTACATACATACCACAAAAAAAATGGCTGTTGCAGGGTATGCACATTATAGTCATCAATGTAAGTAATGCTCCAGACGGCGGAGCGTCTGCCAGAGGTATTAATAAGGAGGGAGTCAATCAGCTAATGCGCCTCAGCTGTGCGTGACAACCCACGAGTCACTAATTACTTAAAGCAAAACAGCTGAGGCGCAGACCCCACAAAAAGAGTAGGAGAGAGAAAAGAAAAAGACAGGCAGGTCGAGAGAACAGAGGAGAGAAAGGCGGAAGAGAGGCAGGTCACGCCAAGCGGACCTGACAGGGGTTGAAGGGAGAAAAGTCAAAATTTTGTAATGTGCCACAGACCCTTGAAAATATAAGACAGCACTATTTATAAATTGGGTCAACAAGGTAGCACTTTGTAGGTTAAATCCTTCATTTTCATGATCTGAAACCTAGACCCTTCTGATTTTGCACTTCATTGTCATTCTGGAGGAATATAACTGTTAAACAACCTGGTTGATAAAATAATACATCAACTGAAAATATCATCACATAGTATATACATGCAGAGCATTTACCATCGCAGGGTGCGTAGGAAAGCTGCCTCCATCCTCAAGGCCCCCACCCACCCCCAGCACGGACTGTTCAAACCCCTACCCTCCAGTCGGAGGCTCAGAAGTGTGAAATGCAGGACCTCTAGACTGAAAAACTCTTTCTTTCAGACTCCTAAACAGCTGAGGAGTTTATTACCAGGAAATATGTCATGTTCTCTCGACCTGTACTGTTTACATTCTCAGTTTGCAAATGCATAATTGCACAGTGACTGTTGACTGCTGCACATGCTGCTCCTATGCAGCATACATTCTCTTATTATATCCTTATATATTTTTATCATATTGCTGCATCTCCTGCTTAAGGTGCCTTAGATTTTGTGTTACTTATTTATCTACTTTATATTTCATTTGTATTTTGTGGCATTCATGTGGACGGCAAAGTAAGAATTTCATTGTACTGGGAAACACGTTTCCTAACTGTGCATATGACAATTAAACACTTTGAATTTGACTTTGAACTAGGTAAACATTAATACTATATTTATCTAAAGTGTCTCAACATACTCACTGACCTCTTCTATACCATACAGTATCTTTAAGTTACAGTAGTCACTCATTTTTACATTGTGCTTTCTGAGTGAGAGTATGATTGTTTTACTGTGATGGGCTTGTAATTGTGTTAATGGTACTGAGGTTAGGTAAGGTGTCTGGGTGATTTTGACCTGAATCTGATCTCCATTCACCCTGTGGTGAATGGGTGAGATCTGGACCAAACAGCAACAAAGATCGGGTGCAGGTGCAGAGGTGGGTCAGATCAAATCAGTTGAGAACATGGGAGCAGACAAAAACGTTGCAAAAATTAGAAAATACTTCAGGTATTCAGTTAGGATTATATACTGTAGAGTAACTGTATTGGGCAAAAAATTGGAAAGGTGTAGGTTTCAATCTACTTGCATGTGTATGGCTTGTGGAAAGAAACAGAGGCAAAAAAATACACACTGCACAAAAGGAGATGAATATAGACCTCAATCATCTGTTGAAAAGCAGAATGTACTGTCATACGTCATGTCACAATAATATGCCCAGCAGGGTTTTGTGAGGATCGTTTGGCCTCATTTTAGAAAGGCTAGCTGATCAGACCCATCCTGCAGTGGATTCTCAATACTAGTGGGATGCAGGTTATAGAGGAATTTTTATAATGTCCTTCTGTTGAGTTATACGTAGGTTGCAAGGCCTTTTTCCCTATTGTGTTTTTTTTTTTGCACTTAGTGTTGGGGTCAATAGTATACAATATACACTAACCGGACACTTTAGTAGGTACACCTGTACAATTGTATGCAATTCAGTACAACACTTCCACCTTAATATCTGTGTTTATGGAGCTCAAAATGTTTCAGTTTTTGGTGAAATGGTCATAAATGTATGAATTAAGTTATATGCTTATTATTGAAGTCATAGTTAAAGGTGGTGTTATACTGGACTACATTATATTCAGAGGTGTTCCTAATATTCTGAGCCTCTCATATATGTAGCTGGGGAGGACAAAAATATAGAGACACATATACATGATCACTGTGTATTAGACATTGATGCTGAGGTGGTTGATCTGTCAGTTACAGTATGCCAAGTGATGGGAAGTTCTATTCCAAAGTCAAGGTTATTCTTCTAGTATTATTTTGATAACTGAACAAGGCTGGTGTATAAATACTGAATGCAATTTGTCAAACAGTCTTTGTGTCAATAATGCAACATGGGCCTGGTGTGTAATCTGATGCCAAGAGGTCTACACTGACAAACCACTAGTGGGCATTTTACTACTTACTGGGAGTTTACATCCCATCAAAAAAGGAACAGTCATGTTCTGAAAACCCTTCAACTCTTCTCTAGCATGTGGTGATGTTTAAGGCTTTAAAGTCAACGTCATTCAGATGAGTGTTTCTGATGGTAGATATTCTGATTCAAACAAACTGTTAAGAGAAGCTGCAGAGCCTATCAAGCTACTGTCACTTCCACTGAGGAAATATTTCTACCATAGCACTAAAAGATGTCAATAAATACAAATATAATGATCATACACCACATTTCATTATGTACAATCTCCACTAGAGTTACACAACTAATATAAGATACCAATTGCCAGCTCAGACAAGGAATACACAAAAACAAGGCAAAAATAAAACAAAATAAAGCTGCCTTTTTCTCTCTACTCTCAAGGTACTGTAGCAGCAGACCCTCGTGTAAGTCAGAAACGATCCTCTGTCAGCACAGCGTTCTATTCACCTCACCTCTTAGATGATCTTGATGTCAGTGCAAATTAATGTTAACCCCAAAGTGTTAAATGAAATAAAAGCTACATGAAGAAATAAGAATACATGTTTCTCTATGTGTCAGCATGTACATGCCTAAATCATTTACTGATAAAATCATGTCCGGCTTCACAGACATTTAGGTTTGGGGTTTTAATGCTAAACATGCTAAATAAGTTCATAGGCTACCATCGTAGACATTAATCCCACAGCAGCCATTGTGAAGAACAAGGGGTATAGAAACTTGTTAATCACACACACACACACACACACACACACACACACACACAAAAATAGTGTGAAAAAATAGAGGTTCACGCGTTATGCCAATGTATGAGGGGCCCTTTAGGAAATAGGCTGTTGTGCACATGCCTGTCAAATACTCGCACATATGCATGTAAAACATTCTTAAATATGAAACGCACATACTTGTATATATGTATATGAAATACACAGTACTGTTGTCATGTAAAACATTCTTACATACATTAAACACTGTCACAGATAATTTGTGTGCATACATACAAATGAACATACACACAACCTGTGAAACATTTTTACAGATACATGTGAGACACACACACACAATCACAATTGAGAGGCACTTGAAATCATGCATATAAATACTGTACCTTTGTGAGACTGAAATATTTTTGCGATATGTGCTTCATGTAATGTATGAGCGTAAGTATCAGTGTCTTGCCCAAGGACACTTCGACATATGGACTACAGGCAACCAAGATTCAAACCTTCAACTTTCCGGTTGGGAAACAGTAGCTCTACCCACCGCAGCACTGTCACCCTCCTTATGTAAAAAGAAGCCTTTTTTCTGCCCTTAGAAATCCAGTCACCACTGCTCTGATCTGAGGCAGGTTCAGGCCGTAAACTAGAGGGTTAATGATGGGAGGGATGATCAGAAACTCCAGAGATAAAGCAATAACTACAGATGGATTTACTTCATCAATATTATATCGATTCAGTAAAACCTCACAGAGCACTGAGATGCAAAAGTTTCCAAAGGTCACAATGTGGGGCAGGCAGGTCTGTAAGGCCTTTCCTCTGAATTCAGATGAACTTCTCCTGCAGACAAGCAGAATGCGCAGGTAGGTGTACAGAATAAAGCTCAAGTGGATAAAGAAAAATGCTATAGCATAAAAATGACTTGTTATGCGTATAGCAGTTAGGTCCTCACAGGAGAGCTCAGTTACAGACCAGTCATTACAATAAATCCTGTTCAGTTTGTTTCCACACAACGGCAATGTGGTGGGCTGATATAAAACATAGGCAGCACCACCTACAGTATAGAGCACAACAAGAATCAAAAGCAGCAGCACCGTCCTAAATGTCATTTTACTGTGATAGTGTAAAGGCTGGCAAATAGCAGCAAACCTGTCATAGGCCATGACTGTGAGGAGAGACACCTCATGTCCTAGATAAGTAGTAATAACATACATCTGAGTGAAACAGAGCGGACATGAGATGAAATGAGTATTGGACAGAAGGTCCATCAGGAACCTGGGGAAGAAGCCGGTCGAGCCGTACAGAGAGTTTAAACACAGAGAGCAGATGAAAATATACATGGGCTGATGCAGAGAGTTCTCCAGGCAGACTGACAGAACAATGACAAGATTAGCAGAGATTATAGTCATGTAGATCAACAGAGAGAGGCTGAAGAAAAGATATCTGAGGGGCCCATAGTCTGCAAACACAGTGAACTGAAAATAGGAGGGAGTCAGGCTGTTGTTGCTCTTCATGTCTGCACAGCTGCAACAGGACAAGTCAGAGTGACAGAGGGAGAACAGATGGTTAATGGAGATTAAAAGTTCTAAATTAAGAAGCTTGCTTTAGTATTTAATAAACATAAACCTATATGTATATAAATACATTTGTAATTAATGTGCCAAGCATATTTCAATATAATAAATGCAAGCTATATAATGTGAAAAAAAGTGTTCAAAACTTTATCAGATGGAAAAAACTTGCAGTGCACTAAATACCCAAACATCACGTTTCTCATGTCAAACAATCAGCACCTTAAACAACATCTGAGCACAGAGAATAAAGAATGTAATGTGGTTATAAAGTGTGACAGCTGACATTCAGCTCCCAGCTCCTACACGTCCATGTTCACAACCACAGTTCTTCACTGAGAGCTCTCCCAGTGTAACCCAAACTGAAGCAGCTGCTGGACTCTCATCCTGTTTTGTTGTTACACCGAGAGCAGCCACAAACAAAGACTGGGCCCATTGGGACATGATGGAACTCCAGCCCTTCACTGACTGACCCTGTTATCTTTATTGTATTTTTTTGCTTGAAGTCATAAAATATGTTGAATGTCACTTTCAGCCTTTCCCGTTTAGGGGTTGCTACAGCAAATCATCACACTGATGACTCATGTTGACATTTGGCACGTGTTTTACGCCGGATGTCCTTCCTGACACAACCTGGATTCAAACTTGCGGTGAATATTTGCACATCATGGCTCCCATGTAGCATATATTCTCTCGGCATTATATTGTGTTCTTGTTGTATTTTTATTTGCTTCCTTCACTTACTGCTTTAAATTGCCTTAGGTTTGTGTTACTGCCTATTTAGATTTGTGTTATTGTTTATCTACTTTATATTTCACTTGTATTGTGTAGCATTCATGTGGACGACAAAGTAAGAATTTCATTGTACAGGGAAACACGTTTCCTAACTGTACATATGACAAATAAACACTTTGAACCTTTGAACCTTGAACCTTGTTGCTAAAGGTATAAACACGATGCACCTTGGATATACTGTACCATTGCAGCAGTAGTGTCCCTTGTGGCAGCTTGGTGAAAAACATCTAACATATGAGTCCAACTAACCTAATGTGCTTACAGATGTCCAACAATGTCACCCTTTTGGAATTTCAACCCATGGTTACCGAACAGTAAGAAAAAGCCATAAAATGGGAAGTAAACCACTATAATGACGCTCAAAATACTTAAGAGAAAGAAATGACCTTAGAGACTGTAAAACAACTACAAAACAAGGGTACGAACAGAGACGAAACAAGTACAGTGAGGTTCAAAACTTGAGGAGTTGGAAGACGTAAAAGTTGCTCGTCATGTTTGCACAGTTGCAAGCTGAGACAGATGTGATTTTAAAAGGGCAGATGAAAAGAAAACAGAATGAGAAGTAAAAATTTTCCATGTCAAAAATTTTAATCCAACATACTTAAAGACAAATATAAGCCTGTATTCTTCCATGCCTCATAAGTTAAAAACCAAATGTCATGTGATTAAACTTATTTAGCAGACACGGTCGCCACCACATTTAGTGTAAATGGTAGATAAAGCATTACATAGTTGCTATGTGCGTGCTGCATACAACAATAGAAAGGCTTTTCCTGAACCAATCCCCCATATTCCACTTCCAGACAAACCATTTAGACAACTGATGATAAACTATATTGACATAACTGAGAAGATACAGAGGGAGAAGTATATTCTGGTGATGGTTGTCATTTTCAGTAGGTGAATAGAAGCAATGCCTACATCACGCTCAGATGCCAGGTCGCATGCAAAGTTTCTATGCGAGGAGGTCTTTCCCAAGTTTGGTTTACCTGATAAAATAATCTCAAGTAATGGACCACACTTTGTAGCAGAGCTAGTGCAGGCGATAACTGGAATGTTAGGGATCAAGCAGAGGTTTGGGTGATTACTGTATGTACTATCCATAATCACAGGCAATGGTTGAAATAGATGATGCTACTCTAAAAGCAAAGCTGGCTCAGATATGTGCAGGGGGTAGTCTAAACTTGGTAGAGGCCTTAGCTTTGGCTTTGATGCATATGAGAATGCAAACTAACAAGAGCATCCATCTAATTATGTGAAATTCTGACAGCTGACCCATACAGAGGCCCATACAATAGACCTCTGCTTATGTAGCTGGAGAGGGAGCATTCAAGCTATGTCCAGCATCTAACCTAAATCCACAAAGTTATGTTCCAACAGGTGAAGGGTGCCACACAAGACAGAACAGGTGAGATTCCAGCAGAACCGCAGATGTCACAATGAGCAGGTAACTGGTGGACCCAGTATGCAGACACATGCTGTCACCTCACAGCAAGAAGGTTCCAGGTTTGAGCCCAGGCCGATCCGTGGCCTTTCTGTGAGGAGTCTGCATGTTCTCCCTGTGCCTGCGTGGGTTCTCTCCAATTACTCCAGTTTCCTTCCACAGTCCAAAGACATGCAGCTTAGGTTGACCGGTGACTCTAAACTGTGAGTGTGTTACGGTCTCTCTCAAGCCAGGGGACAAGAGAGATATAAAAAGGACCCAGACTACAGTGTGACAGTTTAGATGAATAGAAAAAGTTTTATTAACACAACTAAAACAGGAGAAAACTGATGGTGATAATGGCTAAGAGTCAGGAATCACAGTCTAGTTCACCGGGGAGCATGTGGAGACAGGCTGACCCGGTGGAGTGGTGCAAGGAAGAGGAGTTACTGGAGGTGGATAATGACGGCTGAGTTGAGCGGTGAGTGAGACGGTTGCTGTAGGAAAGCTGGCCCAGACAGAATGGTGCCGGCGAGAAGAGCTGCTGGTGGGTGATGGCTGAGTCGAGCGGTGAGTGAGACGGTTGCTGTAGGAAGGCTGGCCCAGACGGAATGGTGCCGGCGTAACAGGATCGGAGGTCAAGAAGCAGGAGCTGGTGCGTTGTATCTTGTATTGTCATCAACATCAATGAACCGGTGGTGAATGAGTGTAAGATTGGAGGATATATAGGCCAGGTGGTGATTAGGCAGATCTGCCACAGCTGTGGAGCATTCCAGGGATGCCGGTGTGTGCAGGGAGAGAGGGAGGGGGAAAGAGAGAGAGAGAGAGAAACAAGGAGAAAGGCAGGGAGCGGAGCGCAACCCTGACAGAGTGTGTGGTTGTTTGTCTAAATGCCAGCCCTGTGATAGACTGGCGACCTGTCCAGGGTGGACCCCGCCTCTCACCCAGTGTCAGATATGTTTAACTGTGAGAACTTGAGACATACGGAAGAACAATTTGGATAATGTAGTGGTTAAAACAAAAAAGTTACATTTAATAGAGTGAGCAGGAGTGTGTAGATTACATATAAATATTATATGCAGTAGGCAATAGTAAAAATGCAAATATCAAAACTGATGAAGCCTCTTGGATGAGAGGTGAAATGTCTTCGACCTAGAAATCTAGTCCAGTTGATTTTTTCTGAGTTTTTTCAGCTTACTATGACCTGGATGATTGAGAATCTGCACAGACATATATGAAAAATACAAATAAAAATTTAGATGGCAAACAACTAATGCATAGTAACCACTAACAAACCCTACCAAACATTTGACTAAGCCTTAGCAAGCACTAACACCAGCAAACATTTTAAATAACTCACCAAACATTTAAAATAGCCCAGCCAAACATCTGGTTCCTTTTATGCTACATCAGAATCCACTCTGCATTGCTAATCACTCCAAAAAACCAGTTAAACTTCTAATATGTCCTCATGTTAGTTTGTTCATGCTAAAACCAGGAAGTAGTCTTCAAGCCTGCCACATGTACTGTATCATACATTTTTGTTAAGCCCACCCTCTTATGCTTGTTTACTTCATTTTAGTATAATCTGCACATATGTTGCAGTTTACATTTTGTTGAATCCACTTACCTGTTAATCCATTCACACATTTCTTCAGTTTGAGAGCCAGTCACTGGACCTTGCTGAAATGTCGACTAAATTCCTGACTCTGGTTTAGAGAGCAGAGAGACAGCTGAGTTGGTTACAAAGCCCCTACAACCAACCTCCACCGGGAGGACTTTAACTTTCCAGCCATGCTCCTCTGCCTCCATGGCTAACTGTGTATTTCAGTTTCTTCCTCTCATAAGCTGTATCTACAGCATCCTCCCAGGGACTGTAAGCTCAAAGAAATACACAGTCAGCTGTGCTTCTGACCACAACACAAGGTCTGGTCTGAGGTTAGTGGTGACTATCTCCCCACAGGAACTATGAGCTGAATCTACTGTCATTCGCCAGTCTCCCCCTGCCTTTAGCAGGCCTGCATCCTGCCTGTTCAAAATGACTGGCTTCCTGCCTTTTTCACCCTCACAAGCAAACAAAATCCCTTTTTTGCTTCTTCTCCTCAACTGTTTACCTCTAAGTCCCTGTCCTCAGTAGCTGCTGCTAAGCATTTCAACACTTGATTATGTCTCCAGGTGTATAGTCCTTGAGCAAGGCTGGATTTACACCTAGAGAGGATGTGCCAAAGTGATGCTACACCTGACCACAAGGGACATGTCAGGTCCTCACCTATCCATATATTCAGATTTTGGGGAGATAGGAGCACATTATAAGCTGTGCCAAGAATGAATTTGATCCTTCCTGCCTTCATGTCCCACATTTCCCTCTAACTAAGTTTCTTCCACACCTTCCCATGTCATCCATTGTCCCTACTGAGCCTGGGAAACT